CTTCCTTCCTTCCTTCCTTCCTTCCTTCCTTCCTTCCTTCCTTCCTTCCTTCCTTCCTTCCTTCCTTCCTTCCTCCTGGAAAAATGTGATGATTAACCCTAAGCATATATGTGTATCAGAGACTCTCACCTATACTCCATCTAATTTTTAATGTAGAAACCTATTTTAGAAATTTTAACATAGAAATTTTAACATAGAAATCTATACAAAAGCCAGCTAGCAGAGCTGCACAAAGATCACTACTTAAAATCAACAAACAGCTTTTTCTGGTTATAGTTGACGTATACTATACTTGCAAGTCTTCTAAGGATCTACCAGTGCCTTCTAATTTACTATCAGGCCACTAATCGTTTTTTCCCTTTGGAAAAACAATTCAGAATGGGCACAAGGAATATATACCTAGTTCTTTTACTTCCTTGCATCTTTTCTGTTTTAGCACATACACTCATGCTGCTTTACAAGCACATACGACCCAATAACAGATTCCCAATCATAAAGTAGTAGAATGAGTGATGTTTCACTCCCTCTCTCGCTCTCTCTATGCATATAGTGTCTAGGATCAAAGCAGAACAGATCAGAATATAAATCATGTAATACATTTACTGTGCAGCTACTATTCAACATTATTTTGTTTGTTTGTTTGTTTGTTTGTTTGTTTAATCACCAGCCAGCAGTTTTCTAGAACCCTTGAAAGTCAAGCACTGATTCTGCACTTCTGTATCACCATGGCAACTGTGGGAACTCTAGGCGATTTTAGGGGGATAGCTATACCAAAATGTAGACAGAAGAGATTAAAGTGGTCATAGAGAAAAGATACCAAGTCTCTGCTTTCTGTTTCTGTTTTTAATTCCGATCATGCAGGTACTGAAGGATTCCTTTAGCACATTCCTGAACACCATTACAGATAAGGTCCTTTCCTTTTTACATAATGTGCTTCTAATGATGCCATTTGGTTATCGTAATAGATATGGATGGGGTGGATAGGCTTCCCCATGACTTAGTAGGTTATAAGCAAGATATAAATCCAGAAAGTACCTGGATTTAATTAATCTACCATTGTTTATTCAGAGGTAACACTTACTTCTACAGGATTTACTCCTAAGTATTCTTTTTGGGCTGTAGACCAGTTAATTAAAATTAATTATTTCAGCAACTGGCTAAATGAATATTTGTTCAGAAATTTTATTTTACATGTTTTAGCTAAAATTATCAAGCATTACTTTATTAATTTTCATAGGTCACTGCTAATCTCTAATTCAGTAGCACTAACAACTGAGTTTTTCTTCTTTTTTCTTTTAAGAACTCAAATCTTCAGGGCTTACTGGACCCTAATACACCATTTGCTACTAATTTATGTCTAAATGACTTGATTTATTCCTAATTTTTATCCATTGCTATCAGTTTTTCCTGTGACCTAGTGAATTTTCTCTATGCTTTAGAACGGTATCTTTCAGGAAACAGTGGTGCCTATGATGAAATGCTAGTTTTTGTTTTATAACAAAAGTAACTGTAGAGTGCTATTAGAAATTTCAAGAGCAAATCAGAAGTACACAGACTAGACAATAACTTAAAAGAACAAGACTTGATGTAGTCCTAGTGCTGAAACTTAGCAGGCATTGCTGAGAAGGTGATGGGAGGTTCAGAATGAAGGCTTTGGAAATAATGATAACAATAATAATAGTAACAATAATAACATATTCAAATAGGGTCAGTTGGGAAAAATAAGGATAAGGAACCTATTGCATTAGAGAGAGATAATTTACAAAGAGTGAAACTCTAAAAAAGTTTGTATAAAGTACAATGTGAGTAGAAATATATACAGATATTAACACTGATATTGTATGTCTACATATCTGTATTTGCAAACAAACATGGAAGAGGGATGAAGTAAACTTAAAAGAACTGATGAAATGCCAAAATTATATCTCTTCTAAAGCAAAATGAAATCTGCCTGACCAAATGTAATAATAATCAGATAGATAGATAGATAGATAGATAGATAGATAGATAGATAGATAGATAGATAGATTTACTACTTCTATAATAAAAATGCAATTAAGACTCAAATCCAACTCAAGTTTTTAGTAAAATCAACATGTATTCAAACAGAATACATAAAACATTCTCAGTCAGGGTTAATACATGAAACACTCTCAATTATATGCTGCTAGTCAGTTTGCGAGCGGTTCCAGAGCATTACATTTGAAATGATATGTTTATTATGGTAGCAGTTGCATTATTATTTCTTGTTATTACTTTTTAAAAAGAAATGCATTGCTATACGTTTTCTTCATCCCAACTGGTTAGTTAAAATGTTGAGAAAGAAATCTATAGCCAAGAAAGATATAAAAGATGAATGAATGAGAGATTCATTCATCCTTAGCAAGAAAATGTATTTATAAAATTTCCCACCTGAAGCTGGAAGTAGCTGCGTTGTGATAAGAACTTCATGATGTATATATGCTGATCATGTAGCTATCATGATATCAGTTAGCTATCTATGCATTTTTCTCATCTTTATTTTTGAAGAAATATATAAAAACAAGGTAAACTGTAGGGTACACTTTTGACCAAGCATGCTATATTCTATCACATTCATTTCTAGGGTATATTGGTTCACTGACTGCAGGGACATGCAAGTGAGGAATTACTGTTCAACATGATGAAGAAACTCTTGTGCATGTATAGAGATATGCAGAAGACAAATATGAATTCTCGGGGGCTGGAGGTTAATGAAAAGATTCCACCCACAGCACACACTATAGTTTACTGTTTCACAAGTCTTAAATTCCCAGCAAGATACCAAAAACAAACTAGCAAAATGGTTTGAATAGCAGGCTATATTTAATGTTTTCTGTAAATCCCAAGTATGAATGTGAGGACTTCACTGAGGAATTTGATGAGCTTTTTCAAAACTATCTTCCTTCCTTCCTTCCTTCCTTCCTTCCTTCCTTCCTTCCTTTCCGATCATGCAGGTACTGAAG